GCAGCTGGACATGGTCCCTGTCAGCCTGCTTGGGTGGACCCTGCTGCAGAAGGGAGGTGAAACAAGGTGACCTCAAAAGGCCCCTTCCAACCTAAAGGATTCTGTGAGGAAGCAACAGTTTTGGGCTGCATAGTGAATAAATAAAGATAAACAATAATGGCAATGATAATAATAATGATGGATTTGAGATTCCATTGAGAAAGCTGTGGGGGAGGAAGCAAATGAGCACTGATTAGAGCTCAAGAAAGAGAGRATTTCAAACTGACTTTACAGAGACAGAAGTCTGAGACTACTGCATTGATCAGCTTTACCATTTAGCATCCTTACCTTTTCTTTCTGTTTAATAGCTGAACTTTGTTCGATTTTATCTTCCATTGCTTATCCAGAAACATGAGAAAGTAATATATTTGGATGATGATGTCATTGTTCAAGGTAAGGTGTTGTCTAAAAAGCAGTTTCTAATAGAATTAAAATCCAAKTTATTGCAGCTTTTACAGCCATTTGGAAAAATGAGCTACAATAGAAACTGAGGCAGCTGCTACGAGTGTTGAACTTAAGGGAAACTGCAAATAATCTGGTTYTTWAAATGAAAGTTTGGGGAAGAATTATCTGCATATGTTCTGAATAATTGTGATCAAAATGATATGTGGTTTTTGTTTTAATTGATTCTGGTCATTTGCTGAAAGATACCATGCATTTCACTCAGATGCCACAATGTTTATTAAGTGTGTGACATGCATTTCCTGCTAGCATTGGAATTCCCACAAACGCTACCAATTCCTTATCCAGAACTGTTGTTCTTGAGAGAAATTTACTCAAATCAGAGGATTAAAATTTCAAACACTTAAAATAGTTTTGAGCATCTTCAACTCAGATTCTAAAACAATTTTCAGAATCATGATCAAAGCTTTCAGAGTTCCTAGTCAAGTGGGAGCAGTTAGACATTCAAATCCTCAAAAGTATCTTCTCTTTTTTTCTTATCATCAAAGTAATCTCTTTAGAAGACCATTTTTTTTTTAAAGATGAATTTCTTGTGAGTTTTCTCTGTTTTGTTTCCCAGTTGTTTTTTTTTCTCTGTAGAGCTGTTGTCTTTATATTTGTTTTGTCATATTTTCTTGTTATGTTAAAGCACTTTTTAATCATTTACTTTCCCCCCATCCCCACCCCCAGTGGGATGGGGGAAGAGGAAAGGAAAAACAAAAGCAAGAAAACTTGAGGGTCACAATAATACAAACAAAGATAGACCCAGGTATAGGACTCAAATTCAAAAGTTATCCCATACTACAAAATTCAGTGTCTGGGCTATCCCTGAAAACTGATGTGTGTTTACAAATAACATAAGAGAACTGATGTTAATTTWTCAGCTCTGTAGCAGTGTTGTCTTAATGTTTGTGACCTTTCTGTAATCAGGTGACATCCAGGAACTCTACGACACTAAGTTAGCTCCTGGACATGCAGCAGCTTTTTCAGATGATTGTGATCTGCCTTCTACACATGAAATGATTAGAAGTGTAGGGATGCAGGTAAGATGCCATTCTGGAATTCYAGTAATGAATCTGTTTGCCTGTAAGTGTGAGATGATTTTATATGTTTCCCCCAAAGTGAGAGTTTTATATAYATAWAGGTACATACTTTGATGGCTTTGTRATAGTTGTACAAGTAATTAAGGACTTTTTGTAGTAACTCTGTAATGCTRTGCAGAGTCCTTTCCTGTAATAATTTGAATCTCTCTTGTTTTTTGCATTCTACTAAATTATATTTGGTATTTCACTATCAGTAGATCATGAGCATTTATAGAACATTTGATGGAGACAGAGTGTATGATATTTGTATTAGTCACATTGGGGATGACATCTAGGAAAACAAATTTAAAGGCTATTTCCTAAACTGAGCTCCCCAGAATTGTCAGTGCATCCCTCTAACATTACAGCTGTAAAATTGTGATGCTGCATCATTTAGTGTGGGCTACCAAAAGGGAAAAGCCTTMTCAAACTTCCATTGTACAATACTGTGGAAAAAGTCATTTAAATCTGGAAGTGTCCTCCCTAACAGCCTTGTCATATGGAAATCAGCACAGGTAACCCCATCTAGAAACTCATCTTTGGGAGAGCATGTTTAGCTTCCCACTCAGGGAYAGTGAGATGTATTTACATGTATCTTTACAGAGATTCATGGGGATGGATATACTGTTTTTTTTTCTTAGAACACATACATGGGATTCCTGGACTACAGAAAGCAAGCCATTAGAGATCTTGGCATTAGCCCAAGCACCTGCTCCTTTAATCCTGGAGTCATTGTTGCTAACATGACTGAATGGAAACATCAGAGGATTACCAAGCAGTTGGAAAAGTGGATGCAAAGAAATGTAGAGTATGTATAGAAACCTAGCTTTGCTTCTAATACTTGGTTAAAGGTTTTACTTTCTGTTCAAAAGCTCTTACAGATTTTTTTCTAACTCCAAGCAATGTTTCTTTTGAGATCTTGTCAAGTGAAGAAACTCATGTTCCATTATTTCCATCTGTTTAAATCTCACCAAATCTGTACCAGGAAATGGCCACCTGGAATTTTAGTYTTGCATTTAATCACAAACCACACTTGATCCTGAGGGACACTAAGAACACATTTTGGGTGACCAGCTTAGGCTGGGATGAAGCCACTGAATAATCTTCCCTTCCTGAGGCTGGCTTAAAGAAAGAGGAATGTTTCTTTATTGGCSTGGGGACTTTCCTGCTGTGGAGTCAGCCAAGCTGTAATTGGACACCATTTTTTWAAAATACCAATAGAAAACACTCCTTTTTCTTTAGTTGAGTGAAATTTGACATGCAGTATCCTTTTGTTATTGACCAAGTTGTGACACAGTGAAACRATCACCRTTTTTAAAATTAGTTCCGTTAACCCATATTTGAAAATTTGGCATTTWTTTTCTTTCTCTGCAAAGGATTAAATTTAAATTTAGTAAGATACAATTGATATGGAATAGTTTGTGCTRTTTGCTGTGTCCATTAATGGTGAGTTTTAGAAATGAACAGAGGAGGAACATGAATGAGAAGTGTGTGAAGGAATGAGAAGCCAAATTTCTTTCTCTTACTCTGATTATGTAACATCCTGACAAACTATTCCTGTGTTCTTTAGGAGATTTTAAGAGTAAAGCCTCCATTAGTATTACTGAAAATTTTACCTATAAGGTTGGGTTTAGGCCTTAATAGTACATTCATCCTCCTTTTAGCTGGATTTTGAAATRGTAGTGGAAAAAACTGCCTAGYAATTGAAACCCAGTTTTGAGGGAAGGCTATGATTTTTTTTTTGTTCCGTAGTTTCTCAGCATCTCTTGCCACTCCCCAAGTTTCTTCCCCTTTGGACCAGGTGGGTGGCACAGTGTCCCATAGGTGGGGTTGCTTCACCCATTTGCCAACTGGTSAGCAAAGCCACACTGTGGCCACAGATCTGGCTGCCTCCTCTCAGTGCCTCCTCTTAACCATGGTTAGGCTTAAAGTAATCTTGGATTTATCACAAAATTGATAGGGAACCAATAGTCATTGGATATTAATTTATACAAACTGGGCTTTGACAAAATCCAGCTGGAGGTTAATTTATGGGTGTAGAAGCTGGGGGAAGGAAAATGTACATTTTCTTAAGAAACCAGGCTAAATTATGTTTGATTGCTTTAACAGCTTTTTTCCTACAGTTAACTTCGTCATCCTTGAGAACTACAGTCTCTGTAGAAGAAATTGGTTTCATGTTTGATCTGACTCCCTTTTTACTGGGTTGCAACAATTTACTCCATGGGAATTGGAGTTGCAAATATAATCAATTAACAGCACAAGGAAGGACTATGCTGAAAACTGATCCGTTAAAAATTATTTTGAATTYTGCCACACACTGATTTTTAACCTTCTGTCTCTTGTATAAAGATTCCTTGAGGTTTTGAACATACTCTTTTTTTGCAGGGAAAACCTCTACAGCAGCACCCTTGGGGGAGGTGTGGCAACCTCTCCAATGCTGATTGTATTTCATGGAAAACATTCCTCTATWAATCCCATGTGGCACATAAGGCATCTTGGTAAGTCTAATTTCTCACTGTAAATTGAAACTAAAGTGAGTTTGTGAGATTCCAGTGCAGGACATTGTGACTTTACCTCATGCATTACTTACATGGAAAGAATATATGAAATACATGAATATAGTGAGAGAGTGAAAAAAATCAGTCTTTTTCTAGGTGCAGTGGAAGAAAATGAGAGGCCTGGCAGTGTTTGCTGTCAGCATTCTGAAGGATGTAATTACCTTTCACMTGGGAGTGGTGAATTATCCTAGGAAAAACAGAATGGCTTAGCAGATATGGTAAAATGAACAGATTTTGKTTTGTTTTTAATCCCAGCTACGCAAAGATGTTAAAGTGTTGAAAGAGGAAATTCTGAGGAGGAAACKTGTTGAGATTTTTTGCTGATGCAGTGTAGGAGACATCAAGTTGGAAAAAGCTACTCTGTCATATGACTAATTGTAAATTAACATGGAACCATACTCATCAGACTTCTGAGAAAAAGTCACCTGAATTTACCTCACTCTATAGTGTCTTCCACTATTAAAAACTGCATTTTTCAATTTTTTTTTTTTTGCAGGTTGGAGTCCTGATGCCCGTTACTCAGAGCAATTTCTTCAAGAAGCTAAATTACTTCACTGGAATGGGAGATACAAACCTTGGGACTATCCCAGTGTGCACACTGATCTCTGGGAAAATTGGTTTATTCCTGACCCTTCAGGGAAATTCAAATTAACTCGTCCTGATAGCTGATACTGAAATCACTTAAATACAACAAAACGTAGTGTATGGGTTGCATTTAATAGTGTGAGATGCAACATGTTGTATGATTAATTGATTTTAGAAAATGAAGTATTTGTTAATTATATTAATAACTGACCATCAGTTTTGTGTGCTTATAGCAGGAGAGGGAGGCTGGAGTACAAGGTTCAGATTATCCTGATTTTCATGTAAGGTGAGGAAACGAGTTTACTTGACAATGGAATATTTTTATTTAACACTTACAGAGGTGAAATTCAGTGCCAGACAGCATGTTTTAATTTAAGGTCCTTATAAGTAAGATTCCAATGTCTTCTGGTAGAAAAATCTTCACAGGAGATACCAGCAATATTATGTACAAAAAGTGTTTAGTTATCTAGCCCACATCAAACAGCCTGAAATGAAAACTTTGGGCACTTGTTACTCAGTTCTGTGGTGTGGTGACTCTCTTTTGTGSCATTTCTGTGTATGACACATCCTGTAGTGTACTTAGCAAGATGAAAAAGCACATTCCAATATACTGCAGTACAATTCCTGATTTTATTGTGAAACATTGATAGATTTAAGACAGATTAAAAAAAAAAGAGCACCGGTTTTGAGGGAGGACATACATAATTGCTGTATTTAGTGGAATGGTCATTGTACACTTAACTGTRTTTTATACCCAGATAACCAAGTGGGTGTCTCCATTCAGGAAGAGACCTTTCCCTTCAATCAAACAGGATAGCCTTTCAGGAGTTACATCCTACTGTGCTACATACTCAGCAGTGCTAATTTCATGCTTCCAATTTTGTTGAAAATAAAGTGAATTGTAACAAATCCCTGATGCAAGATACTTTGAGCACCTGCAGGAAAATATCCATGTAAACAGCAATATATGATACAGTACACTTTTAAATAACAGACAAGACAAGTCCTATACCTTTCTGACAATATGTGGAACAGCTTTATGCTGCAGCTAATAAACAATCAGAATCATAATGCACACTCTTTTRAGATTCTCAGAATTAAGCCACGTAATTTGGGAAGAAACTGTAAACATCATGCCTACTGTGCAACAGGTTGACAGTGTGTGATCTCAGTAAGAGCTGTTACAGCAGGATCAGAACCTGCCCTTACTGTCACACACAACTGACAACTGTCACTGGCTGAAGAGAGGATAAATCACACTGGTACAGGAATCTCTGACCAGCAKGGAGTGTGGAGATACTGTTTGTATCTGTTTTCAAGTATGTGAAGCACCMAGTGTCATAAGATCATCAAAACTTAAGTGTTTTGATCAGCTTATTGCTTTTACTTCATCTTTTCCTCACATGATAAAAGAGGGAAAGAAGGTGAGAGTTAGCACCAGGATGGAATCTGATTTCATTCTCAGTCACTAATATTGGCCAAAAATGTGTATCGTTTAGGCAAGTTCTCAGAAGAGAGTTTCAGTTTCTACAGACAACTTCTCATTCATGGAATACCTGCCCCTATATTCAACTCTGGTTTTTACTTTAAAGAGGAATAAAGGGAACACCCTTGTGACATGAATTCTCCTCCCCAAGAGTTGTGACTTGAGATGATGTGTTCAATCCCTTCATCCCAAATATGGTCCACTCACTGAACAGACAGAGCTCTCTTGTCTCACCCAGAAGACAGCACTCACAGCTGCAGAACAAAACTTTCTCTAATTTTTAAAACGATAAAAGGCAGACTTAAAAAGCACCATTTCCTTAACTGTGCATGATTAAAAACAGAGCTTCACATAAGATAAGGGTACACTTTCCATTTTGCCCTCTGGATAGAAAAGTATTATGAGATATCCAARGGCATCAGTAAAAAACTATACTGCTGCTGTTACTACCACATTACCATTTATGGAATAAAATTAACACCCCAAAGAAATTTTCACAAATGAGAAAGCAATTTGTCAAAAACTGCAAGAGATGGCATACATTAAATATAAAACTCATATACAAAAAAGGGCTAACTTTTTTTTAAAAAGTTTGGACAGTTCCTTAAAATTATCTAGTTCATCGATTTCAGCCTACCACACACTTACTTTGGACTATAATAAAATAACTAGGGGAGATAAAATCCTATTCAAATGCTTCAGTTGGAGAACCGAGGTACCAATCTTGATGACTGCATTAAAACTGCAGCACGTGTGCATAGCCAAGAAGGAACAGATCCTACACGCTGCTTCCCTCCTCTTCCYGTGTCACAGCAGCACTGAACTCTGGAATCTGCTCTGCAAAGGACTGTGGCATCCATTGGCCATTAGCAACTTCACCCAAGGACGACCCTTCGCAGTACTGGGGATTGCTCCCTGCTGAACAAACAGAAATCACATCATTTTTAGAAGCAGTTGACACCACGGGGTCTTTGTTCCCCAGCAATGGCTGCAGACTGAATGGCCCGAGCCCTTTACCAGTTCCATTTGAAGAGAAGCTGCACTGCTCACTGTCATACGGTGCACGGTCACAATAAGCTCCTCCATACGCTGCTTCATAGCCTGGGTCATACTTCTCCTCTTTGACAGCCATCTTTTTAGCATCCTCTGCAGAAACAGAACACCTCAAGCATGAATGTTTAGAACAAAAATTATCAAAGAGTAATTTTATCATAAAACACTTGAAAAACAGCTACAAATTCTACAAGATAATCCCTGCTCYCCTTAGATAATTTAGGCTGTACTAGAGACAGTAGAACCTGTAACACTACATCACACAGTTTAGAGAAGATGACACATATCCCCTGCTCCCATTAAATTCTTTATTTCTTTCTGCTTGGGAAACTGCTAGTTGCATTGTACACTACATTGCAATTTAATGAAGAGTTMACAAAATAACCACAATACCTTGTGCAAGCTGCAGGTCAAATGTGTACTGCACCTCCTGCACCTCTGTGTTGGGTGCAATGCCCTTCAGYTGATCCCTTAAATCTTTCAGCTTTATGTAATAATGCACTTTATCTTGTGCCCGAGGAAACTGAGCACATCTGGCACTGGACGATGGCATAACRTAGCAGAGCTTGAGACAAAGAGCAAGAAAAGCAGCATTACTGATTCCTGAGCTGTGAGTTCATMCTTAGTGCATTCAGAACAACTTAGCAGTTCAGCTCATTGTTTTAACCATTTGTACAAACTTCAACTAATGCCACAGGTGGTTACGGAAGGGGCTAAAAGGGGTCTTTCATTTTTCTTGGCAGTCATCTGTCCTGCCCTGAAGAGAGGGACTGATTACAGCTAATACAAATGAGCATGATCTTCACCATTTATTTATGTGCTGCATAATATTATTTATCTCTGCCAACAGCCCTGACTAAAGATACCAAGTCAGTTCAGGGAAACCAAGCTGTACTCAAATCTTTTATTACCATGCAGTATTTATGAACAAGTACCAGTAAAGGGGATTATTTATCTCTCTTACAAATACATCTACTGCACAAATCCTTGAAAACTACTTAAAGAGAAAGCACTTTATCCAATGGTTCTTCAGCTCTAATGGCAACATTTCCCCCTTTAGAGAARGGCAGCTGAAGCTTGTGGCAGTACTAATTGAGGACAGAAACAAAAACAATGCAAACTTTTGAACTGACAAGGTAATGAAGCTTTAGAATAAGCTACCTTGGCAAGTAACATAATTGCCTTTGCTTCAACCTGTTTATAAGAASATGTTAAACAAACCAATTTCTAATGATACATAGCTGGTCTCTTGAGATGTTTTCCAGCAATAGATGTCTATGACTAATGCACTCCTCATCAAATTGTTTTATCTTAAGCATCCAATTTAACTCCAAACTGCAGATCAGCTTAAGAAGAYCCAGTCTGATGGAAAAGCTTGGCCATGCCTAGATCCAGGAACACGAAGGGTCACGTGCAATGGCACAAGGATGGACCTGCTGTTCTTTCCCCCCARCTGTGGCACTGCATGGTCATGGTCAGGATCAAAATTCAATAATACAAACACCCAGGGAATTGGACACAGGGGATGAGATGAAAGTTATCGTAAAAGCATGCATGTGTTATTTGTGGTTTACACAGTCCTTAGGGAATGCACCAACCTATTAACCAGAACACAGCATTTCCCAAATAGTCTGCAAGTCAGAAGAAGCTGCATTAAAGACGTGTGTGAAAATTRCACTATTCCCCTTTCTCAATTTAAGTAAATGCCTTTCACACCTCTTGTACTTTGGTCAAACTAGTGTTATCCTAACTGTGTGCAGGTACTGAGATTTCACTAGTTTTTAAATATTCCAAATGGAGTGCCCTGGTTTTGCTTCTCAGTCTCAATACTTACAGTTTCTGTATCTGGCACTTTGTGTGGCTGCAGCCCAAATTCCATGTTCTTAACTCTAATTCCAAAAACTTCTCTACTAAAAAGTTCATAAATACCTAAAATGAAAAGATAGGGTAAGTCAAAAAAAGAAAAGCTACAGAGGGGAAAAAATTCATTTMCAAGTAAAAGTTCTCACATTTTCCATTGAAAACTGCTATACGAGGTTTATACTTTTGTAGCTTCTGCATCAGAATTCGCCCACCTTCCCGAATCTCTTTGCTAAAAGACAAAGTACTCAAAATTATAATCAGAACTATTAATTCATTAACAAGCCTGACATTCTCCCTTGTTGCCCTACTTGGAGAGGTCTTTGCTTCCAGGTGTTGTCCTTTCAACCATGTTTGTAAATCCAATCCCATATTTATGTGGCAAGGTGTGGTCATCCATATGGTTCAGTTGTTCCTTACTTAGGCCAGACATGAACAGACACTTCCCTGTGAAATAGGAAGACAGATAGGCATTTGCCTTTTTCCAAGGAAAAGAAAACAACTAAAAAACTCACTCGACTATTGAGAGTACTAGAATGYTAAAGGAAGAATCTATTTTAACAAAGTATCAGTTAATTTGAAAAGACTACTGCCCTATCCAGGAAAGTTTAAAATAGCCAGTATTACTTAACCTCCTCCAAGAGGATAGAAAAACCCTAGTGAACAGGAATTCCTAATCATGATCCTGGAAACCAGCCTTTTATTCTAAAAATTCACTACAGAGCTTTGTACATTGTGAGTCACTTCAGCAACAATCAGCACGGATTTTGGAGGAAAGAATGTGGCAAATACAATGTGTCAGCTTTCTTTTACAATCTTGCCATTGCTTCTCCTTGCACTGGGCCTCTCTGACAGAACCCCCTGRCATTTTTCATTCCTATTTAGCACTTAAAAATACCTCTCTGATTAAAAATAACCCACCAAACCAAAACCCAGGAGAAAAACAAAAAATAAACTAATATAATTAAAATGCCAAAAGTTCTAATGAAGTTCTGCAAATGCTTAAAGAAGAAAGGAAAATAAAAACGTACAAAAATGGTTTCCAGGTCCTGGGTAATGATGTCCCTTGTAAGCTGCCATCAGGCCAGGGTTTATGCCAATCTACAAAGATACCAGTCCATTTTAACAATGACAACATTACTTGCTAGTCAAGAAATTAATCAAGTTACASTAAGGATGCTTATTCAATTCTAAGTTACCATTAATAAACAAAACTGTGTTAATAGCACCTTCCATTTTTATTTAAAAAAACCTGACAGTTTTACAGCAATGACTCATTTAGGTGTGCAATATCTAAAAAGCAGCTCTGAGTACACCACAGAGCTTCCAGGAAATAAAGCACTGAGTTATGGTCTCTCATGACCCTGTATTAAAAATGAGCCTTAGATTTCTCAGAAATTTGGACTAAGTTACTATGGCTTTAACTGAAAAGCAGCTCCACACACAGGAAATAGTTTATATACTTTATCTTGCAAGATCTTGCCATATAAGCAAAATAGATAAGTAAGCAGAAAGAATGTAAATCATAACAAGTAAATACAAGACTTTTCTACTCAACCTTTTAACTCTGAATTACTCACTATTACAATGTCCAGATCAAAGGTCAAAATATCAGGCAAAGTCTTGGTTAGAAGTTCAGCTTCAGTTACACCATTAAAACGGTCCACTTTTCTTTTGACTTTAAAAGTATCTGTGATCTTTTCTTGTTTGCCTTTTGACTTGGCTGGTTTTTCTTTTTTAGCAGCAGRCTTTTTAGGTTGCTTTGGCTCAGTTGCTTTGGCTTTTCTTTTCCTTCCTCCTTTTTTAACTTCTGAAACACATGACAAATATTCTTTTTGTACATTTCTAATGACAACAAACCTGAAGTTTCCTCATCTTCTGGCTCTTATAAGTCTAGAGATTCAAGCAGCACAGGCACTGGGCATGACATGATCATCCTGAGATTGCCCTCCATCTCTGTCTCTCTGTTCATTAATAATGTTGAGCCGTAGAAAACTGTCACTTTCCAGCAGTTTGTTTAAAAAAGCCACACTAAACCATATAATTCTTAGCATATGTAACCAGTTACTTACCTGTGATTACTACAACAAACTAAGCAACCATTTAGACACAAATATTTCAAATRAACAGTATTATACTGTTTAACACTCATATAGTATTACACTTCTCATGCAGAAAGCTTAAAAAAAAGTATTTTGAAGTCAGAAATTAAAAAAATGCCACCTTCTCTAACATAATATTAAAACCCATGACATCAGCTAAAATGATGCATTTGCTTGTTGAAATAAATTCTGCTTTACTTGGAACAAGATAATTGTGTGACACTGAACAATGTGCAAACATGAGTTTACTTTTTGTCTTTTTGTCTGTTAAAACATGTTTCTTGAAGAATACAGTTAATCAATATTTCTGCAGAGAGCATCAAGAACAGGCAATCCAATAGGTCCAAGAAAGTAGATGAAGATCAATATTTTTTTCCCAATCAATCCCTCACAGTTCAGCTCACCAGCACAGCCTAGTCAGGCTACCTTTTGGAGGCTCCTGAGCAATGTTTGGYTCTGGAATGCCCTCAGGAGTCGGCTGCTCCGTGGTCATTTCCATGTTGGGCACTGCAGTCATCATCTGATGGAACGGAAACGAGTAAAATGCTGGAGCTTGCTGAAGGTATGCGTAGTATCTTAGAGAGGGAGAAGAAGAGACATCATTTATCTCCAATCTAGAAACCTTCTGACRTACCAAACAGAATGTAAACATCAAACTTCATCAAGGCTGGCATGTACTGCACTTATATTTTCTGATGACTCCGTAACAAGGCAGTAATTATGAAAACCATCGAAGCAGTCAGGCTGCTTAGCTGATATCAGTTAACCCCAGCATTAACAGTACAGTTCTCTTGTGATTTCTAAAGCGTGGAATTAAATAAGCATTTGAGTAGGAAAGAGTAGAGCTTTTACTCATTTCCAAAGCAAACCATCAAACAGACCAACAACTGACAACGAATGTTGAGCTAAAGTTTTCTGGACTTCCACAAGTTTCCCAAATTTTAGATTTTCTTTATGTTGTGTCAGTTGCTCARTCTGGTAAGATACAGAATAGATGAATCATTCTGGGCTGTAAAGCATTAAGAACACACAGAGCATGTGTTACTATGCAGATATTAAACAGCTTTAACAAAGTGTGCAGCAGATGCTGTCCATTTATCACACACTGSATCTCAACACAAATATTGCACGTATTCTACTTGGAAGTGTTCACACACACAAAGATCCATTATCTTTCTATGCATAAAGACATTTTTCAATAGACAACTCTCTCCCTCCACACATTTATTAGTCATATACAGCCCTCACACCCATTTCTGCTTTATGCTGTCACCTCTCTTCTGCCTACACAGCCACCTTCTCATCCATGGATTCTACTGCCATACAAATACATAGAAAGGACTCGGTGAACAGTAGATTGAGGGAGCTGGGGGTTTTTACCCTGGAGAAAAGGAAGCTCACAAGTGACCTTWTCACTCTCTACAATSCCYTGAAAGGAGGCTGAAGTGACTGGAYAAGGGGAAATGACCTCCTGTTGTGCCATGGGAGGTTTAGATTGGATATTGGGACAATTTTTTTTCTGGRAAGGCTTGTTAACCATTGGAATAGGCTGTCCAGGGAACTGAGTCACCACCTGGTAGGCATTTAAAAGCCACTGTAGATGTGTAAATTTACGGACAGGGTTTAGTGGTGGGTTAATGGTTGGATTCTATGATCTTATAGGTCTTTATCCAACCTAAATGATTCTGATTTTAAAAGTCTCAGAAGAAGGGACCATTCCCTATTGACACACTGGGTTTTTAAAAAATCCACTGTAAATCAGACTYATGCCAGAAGAGCCCACAGACTTGTGATCAAGCCACTGATTTTAACCCAAACATCTATCCTGAAATAAAGAGAATAAATATGAACAGAGRTCTACCAGATTCCCAGGGAAGTCGCCTAACAAAGCTATGGGAGATTTTCAGAGTACAGGGAATACCTTAAACTGTCTGCTGGAAGAGTTCCATTTTATATCAAATACTTGTGTGGTTAGTGAACCAAACAAAACACATTTACAGATTTGTATTGAGAAACTGAGACATGCAGAATCCAGCTCATGATGTAACAAAAGCTTAATCATACAGACCAGAAGAACAGAGCGAGTAAGAAAAATGGGAAAGCATCTAACCAAAGACCAGATTCTTCTATTAATACAGGACTTGTTATTTTTTTTGTGTATATAAATCCTCCTTCTGGTGAAGGGAATACAGTTCCCTTTAAACAGATAAAAAAATGGCACCGTACCACAAACAAGTCCTCTAACTGCTTGCCAATGAGATGAAAGTGAAGTTTTACCCCTACCTCTAAGTTTCCCGTATATTTTAGGTCAGGTTTCTTGCGTGGGTTCAGAAAACACTTTTTAAAAATTACTAATGTATATATATTATAGAACATTTAAATAAGTATTTTTAGTATCACGAGCAAAAGGTATCGATTTGTTCCTCCCCACCCCCCCTTCAGTTTATGTTAAAAACCAAGGAAAGAAAACGAAAAAAAGGCAGAGAAAGAGATAGTTCACCGGAACAAAAACAGGCATTAAAAATTTTTCAAATCCTCCTCGGGACAGAAACACAATCACCCCCC